GAAAGCTACCATTACAGCAAAATTGTTGAGGATGAACTTCAAAATATTCCAGTTCTTTACATTTTCACATACATTTCCAGTGCTGCATTCCTCAAACTGAAAGATTCAAGTTTCTCCCATTGTTCATCAAGTAATTTTTAACACAAAAGTACAAACATATCACGAGTACTTGACCTCTAATGTTCTTGAATACCAGAACCACCAATGACCATCCCCAAAAGAGACCCATCTGTCTGAGCAAATTGAAAACATTTAGCAATTTCAAAAATATTCAGCTATGACTTTGATTTCCAAAGCAAGGAATTTCCAGCAAAATAGGCTACAGAGACACCCTAAAGTTTCCACAATTAACTGTGCATTACAGGTAAGGCAAAGGCCTCAACTCTTGTCTTACCTCATGTCATAAGGACATACAGTTGCTGTTAGTTGAGCATAAATAATTTTAATTTTTTTCCAGTATTCCAGACATTTGTAGATTACCTGAAAATTGCTTAGTGTTCTAGTAACACTTCAGTATTTTTCTTGGTCTTAAAAAATTCTGCTGGACTAAACAACTTTAGATCCTTGGTTTTCTTTAACTAAAAGCTCTTGGCTTTTTCTACTCCAAAAGGAGTAGTTCTGAATGGGGCATGCAAATTTACAACACATTTGTTACTACTCTTTGTAATCCACCCTGCCAGAGAAGTTACTGCCACAGACTGCCTAACAAAGGAGAAGCTGGACTGCAATGCAAGTAATGCAATGTAATACAGGAAAAAGTCAAAGAAATTACCTTCATTACAGGCAGTTCCTTCTCAGTTACCTTCTCTCTACTCCCTATGGCCCTTGAGACCCCGATCCCCAATCTATGCCCTCAAACCACCTAAGATGCAGACCTCTACTTCCTCTTAATGACTCAGATGCACAATTTAATCTCAAGACAAGGATACCTTATCAGGCTTACAGTGACATTAAAGGTCTATAACATGTTATTACCTTACAAAAAGTGTGATGCCAGAGTTACAGATGTATGCTTGAGTATGATTCAGAGGAAATGAAAACGTGGTCCTGTTGAGAAAACAAGGAATGAAGGCAAAACAACTGAGATTGTTAGAGGCAAAGAACACAAGCCAAAAGAACCTTGGAGACTATTCTACCACCTTTTGTAGTTTTTTTAATTTTATCCTTAACAGCATTACAGCTGTCAAGAAAGTAAGTAAAAATTTCACTGGTCTAATGCTGCATTTACACTGATAAGAAATTTTATTACGAAACTTTAGGTTGAACTTTTGTGTGAATTAGAAAAAAGGAGAAAAAAAAAAAGGCGTTCATCAGCAGAACATACACATGTCAAAAATACCTTTAAAAACACTTTTATTGTTAAACATTGTTGGTCTTTAAAGGAAGACCATATTTTTCTAGGATCTGCATTGAGTTTCATTTGGTAATCAGATACAAACGACACAATAAAGCCTATAAAGCCTAGAAGCAACTCTGCAAGCCACGCTTAAGTCACTTGATACATCAAGAAAACATGATATACCAGAGACAAAACCTCTGAATTTTTTTTTTCTGAAATAAAGACACTCCTAGTCCTTTCAGAAGGCAGATCATCTACTAAAATAACCATCTGTTGAAAAAAATAAATCCTTATCAGCATCTCAGGCTTTACTTTTCCTTGATATTAGAATAAGTAGGTCTTGTTTCTTAGAAATGTGATTAATAAACACCTTCAGCCTTCAAATTCACAAAAAAGTACTGAACCACAAACTTTTTGTTGAATCATAATTTTTTTACTCTTTTCCTTGAATGTTGAGATAGCTAATACTGTTGCATCTTTTCGGAATTTTTCCTTTTTAAATGCCTAAGATATGCGATTCACGGTATTTGACCATCTAGCTAAGGAAAGGCCCTATTTAGCCTAAGTAATATTGAACTACGTGCATATGAGTCAAACAGTTATTCATACACAGGAGTATTCAAGAGGTCTAATGTTTGAATCATTATTTGTCAGAAAACTCAGTCTGTACAAAGCATTACTTCTGAGGTGAACCTCATTTAAATTTTTCCATCAGCTGCATTTACTCTTCCTAAATTATTCAGTTCTATAAGTGTTTTAGCTTCCACAGAAAAACACAAACCTATGAGTCTTCCCACTGATTAGACTATCCATTTGCACAGACAGCTGCCCTGTCACTGCAGAAACTACAACATTCAACTACTGAAAAAGCTTTTTGTTGAGACAAACGTTCAAGCAGGGCGACAAAAAGAAAAAAAAAAAAAAAAAAAAACCCAAATTGTACAGTTCTACAAAAACAGTTCCGTCACATTACTGCAGTAACTCCTGAGTCTTATGCTAATAAGTAAACACTAATGATTAAGGAAATGGCCTTAGATGCATCATCCTGAAAAGCACAATGTTACTGGACTTTAAATGTAGAGCAGGTAGAGAATCTCATTGTTAGTTCAAAGACAAAAATAATCAAGATTAACTCTTTTCTAAAAGGAGCCACAATGAATCTTGAAGCTAATATGAATATACATATGCGTTAGAAGTTCCCCATACTGCTTCCCCTACATTAAATGGATTTGTTCCTGACAAGATTCTGAGTTAAAGGCACCAAAGACTTACTAAAACTTGATGGGTGTGACACCAATACACTAAACCGGAATGCAGGGTTACCTCACATTGTTACTTTAGGGCAAGTACTTCAGCCATGTATTCCAGCTAACAGACCTGAAATCAGAGAGCTTCTAATTACCCATGACAAACTCTTATTTGCAAACAGCTAGACAAACCGACACCAATCTACCTCTAGGAGTAACGTGGGAGGATGCTGACGACGTGTTTGAAAGGCTAATTGCATTCGCCAGAAGCCTGAGATCATCTCCAGCCCTTTGCTACGCTGCCATCCATTTCCAGAAGGTGAAATCAAAGAACACTGAACTCATTTGCATCCAAAGTACTTCTCACTTTTCACAAACAGGACTTGCCGATAAAGCTGGGTAAGAATTTTGCCAAGATACTTACAGAGTAATAGAAAACAAGGCTAAAAATTATAATGGGAAGTCATCTTACATTAGGATCACACATACCTATATCAACTGTATGGTCACAACAGTCATGAATCAGGATAGTACTCTGCTACTTTTAGTCTACAAACATGTAACAAAAAGATGTTCCGAGTTTGCAAAAGTTTTACTTTCCAGAGATTGCAAAACCAAACTTACCAAAAAGACACAGCACTACCACGATACAACCAGCTAGAGGCATGTATCAATCAGGCAGTGATGGTCACCGTGATAAAGCACGACCTCAACGCAGTAGCAGCACTGATATTGTCAAGAGTTGCCCAAACATAAAACAAAGAAACAAAAGAACCCAGAGAGTTTTAACGAATTTTTTGAAAGATGCTGAGATATTTGTACGAAAGTTTACGGGCTGTTCATACCGAGAGTTAGAGACATGATGTGAAAAAGCAGAACGCTGCGTGGTTGTGAGATCAGTAAGCAGAAGATGGAAGTTAACATCGTGCCCTGATCAACGGCAAGATTCTTCCCCCTGCATATCGTCTGAGAGACGGGAGGTGCAGACGGGCGGTGAGGCATGTTCCTTCCCTTAGGGCATGTCCAGCTCTTTGGGCACATCAGATGCAAAACGAGTCAGCAGCAACACATCTGCCACCCCGTCCGTTACAAGCCCACGCAGCCACCCAGAAGCCAGGCACACCACAGCTTCAGCCTGCGCCTCATCCCGGCCCCGAGCAGCGCACCGCCCCAGCGCCCACCGCCCCGGCCGGCCCCGAGGGGCGCCCCCGAGGAACGCCTCCCGGCCCCCAGGCTGCTGAGGAAAGCGGCGGAGCCCCACGGCTCCCACCCGCCAGAGTTCCCCCTCCACACACACAGAGAACTCCCCCGCCCGCCCCACAGAGCCCCGCCACACCGGCCCCGGGGCTCGG